TGCCTTTTCAAACAAACACTGCCAGATGATTCTCATGGTGGGAGGTTGGACAAACACTGCCCCTGGCCCCCAGGAAGCACATGATCAAGGCCAGGCCCTATCCTTCAGACAGTAAGGCAGAAAAGTCAGGCTTTTGATGTCTGCTGGCCCTGGTGGAGGGAGAGGCACTGCCCAGGCAGCGTGTTTCCCTGGTCTCCACCATGGCCAAAATGGAGATGGGTCCATCTGGCCAGCATTGCTCACATGAGTGGCCCACCATCGTAGGCATTGGCCATTTGCCTCTCCAGCATCCAGGCTTCCCTTTCACTGGGGACTCCCCCTGCTGTTTCCTTCCAGGGTTTGGGGTCTCAGCAATCAGCATCTATCCAGCTCTAGGGAGAGGCCTGTGAGCCTGGCTTAAGCTGATTGTTGGCAACTCATTTCCTCAGCCAGTGACTGGTTTGGACAAAAAACAGTCCAATCAGAGGGAACCATGGGGCCTGGGTGCACGTTGCCAGATCGGAGGCTTGTTATTTCCTTTTGGGCTTACTCTAGAGGGGATGAGACCCCTCTGCTCCATGACATCTGTCCTGACACCTAAGTTACGATAACAGTCAATGCTTACTGAGGGCTCACCTGGGTCACATGCCCTGCTAAGCACTTGACATTGATCATCTCATTTCATGCTTACCACAAGCAGGAGACAGGTGCTATGATCATCATCATTTGTTGGATGAGAACATCAAGGCACAGAAAGGTTAAGTAGCATGCCCCAGATCCCACTGCTGGGCAGGGAGCCAGGCAGTCTGGCTCTCCTCGCCATGGTGCCCACAGCTGCCAGGGACTACCCGCCCCAGAGCTGGAGAGAGACACCAGCCCCATGGAAGGCAGAGGAGCGGTGGAGAGGAATGGATTCTCACGACAAAACCTGAGCTGCGGGTCCAGCTGTGTCTGAAGCTAGCATTAGTCACCTAAGGACTTTTGGTTATGAAAACCAGTAAGTCCCCTTCTTTTCTCCTTAATCTGGCTTGAGTTTTTTCCTTCTCTTTTTCGGTTGCTTGTAAGGGAAAGAAATCTGATTACTTTACCGTCCTTCTAGGCAAGTACCCCTAACTGATATTCCATTTACAACTCGCACACAGCAGCTGCTCAGTAAACGCGGACGGACTGCTCTCCCTTCCGGTCCATTCACCGCTGGCTCTGTACCCTGACACCCAACTGTGGCCAGCCCAGCGCCTCTTCCCCTTTAGGCTCCAAGTGAGGCCTCGTTCCCTAGCAACCACCCCAATTAGGCAACCATGCCATTTATCAGGAATGCCAATTAATTATAATGATCTTAATGCTCTCCCAATTAGACAGTGCCTTCAATCCGGCTGGGCCAGGGGTGTCTGTAGAATCTCCACCAAGGCCCATTCCAAGGAGGCCCAGGGAAAGCAGGTCTCAGGGAGGGCCCCCCTCACCTGCAGGTCAGCATTGAGACGCCCCCATTTTCCACATCCACCCAGGCCTGACACAGAGCACCCTGGCACCACCCCCAGGGCCAGGCCAGTGAGATTCCATCACCAACCACAGGAAGGTCTCACCTCTAGGAGAGCTTTCGCCCTCTGGCCCCTGTGCTCTGAGTGGGCTGAAATCTTCATCTCGGTTCCCCTGGCTTTTCCATCAGCTGCATTTGATGTTCCCTTTGCATTCTGACTGGGGGAGGGGAGAGTGTGTCTGCTCACAAGCAGAAGAAAAAGCACCAGGCAGGCACATGTTTTCCTTGGGGCAAAAAACCCCAAATACAAACCCGTGACTCTCTGTGTGAACAGTGGGGGTTTACGGAAAGTTGAAGGGCTTCGACTTTGCAAAGTTTGACTTTCTGAAGGTGTTTTCTTCCCCTGCATATGTGTTTCTTCTACATCTGGGACAAAGGCCAAGGTCATGGAGGAGAGCCCAGTGGTTCCAAGTGGATCCTGGAGCTTGAGGGCCTTTTGAATCCCAGCTCTACCTGTGACCAGCTGTAGGCAAGTCACAATCACCTCTGTGCCTCCGTTTCCTCATCTTTAATATGGTAACAATTGCAGTACTTACCTCATAGGGTGGATTTAATGAGTGAGATATCAGGGCTTAGATCAATGCCTCAGATCAGGCCCATACAAAACTACTTAAGTGTTATCAATTATCTTAAGTCTGGACTAAACCTTTTAACTACAAGCTGGTCAGAAATGCTGATATTTTTCTCTAGGACAAGGATTCTGGACTCCTTCTGCAGGACTGAAGTCTTAAGATCAGATAATGGCCAAAGCTTGACAGAGTTGGGTGATATTCTGCCTGGTTAACCCAGCTGCCCTCTTGAGGCAGGTCCAAGCAGATAAACTAACCAGTGACAGAAAAAGTGAGAAGGAAATGTTATGTCCCAAATCAGGTGTGAAACTGTGTATCAACTGGGTTCTCTGGACAGCAGCTGAACTTGAGGACATGCGCGTGCACGCACGCACACACACTGCTATGCTGTCCTCCTCCAAGACCAGACTTTTACAATCAACCCATCGTTCTACTCTCAAGTTTGAAATTTTAACATGTTATTAGGGTTTCAGAAAAAGCCATAAATTCAAATAAAAAACCCAAGAAGTACACACAAAGCTCAAACCCCAAACCCACACTGACTCTCGGCTGCAGCAGTGATGCCAACATCACGGCTTTTATGTACATAAACTTGGCCAGGGAAGGAAGAGGCCTTCATGTACAAAGGTCCAAGATGCCATCCGCCAAGCCCACCACCTTCGCCTTTCAAGATGCTTATTAGAACGCTAAATTACACACCTGACAGGCTGTCTGGACGAGTTTTCTCTTCTCTATGATGTGGGACAGGCGAAGCTGGGAGAACATCTCTTATAGGGAAGGGGCCTTCATTCTGTCCTCCCCACCCCCTTCCTATACTTAACGATTGGCTCTAATTTAATTAGAACCCTCTGGTGGTTCTGTAATGGGAGGTGGAGGCTCAGTCAAGAAATCCCCTTCACTATTCACTACAAGCTGAAATCCGGAGAGCGCGCAGATCCGGGGTGTCCTCCAGAGAAAGCCCTTCTCACCTGCTCCCTGTCTCCCCCTGAGAACCTGCTCCAGCTCAGCCTCCCTGTCTCCGCACCAAAAGTGGGGGTGGACCCTGTGGGAAACAGGCAGGGGACAGATGGAGGAGCGAGAGGGCGGGAGTCCCAACATGCACAGATGAGCAAATACCCAGATTGAAACGTAAGCTGAATGTAATTACTTGGTTAATTAAATATTGACTTTTAACTCAAAAAGTGATTAAAACAAGCTGCAGGAAGACTGTCCAGAAAGGGGGGCAGGGAATGAATCAAAGCTTTCAAGGAGGGGGAGGAGGAGGGGGTCGTCACAGGCAGGTCTGGCTTGCTCTTCCTACTGTGTGCTGGGCCTACAGCGTGCAGGTGGGAAGCTGCGGACCGAGGCCAGTGTGCAAACTAGGATTGCAGGCTTCCCCTTCCATCTTCCACCCCAAGACGGCATCTCTCTACCCTGCTGCCCTCCAAGTGAACCGGCAGCTTCTGGCGCGCAGGAGCCAGATCCTGTTCAGCCGCGTTTCCCTGGAACAGAACGCGGTGCCTGGCACGAGGGGGTGCTCCAGAAATGCTTGTAGAACGAATGAACGAACTACTATAAGGAATGTTTGTTTGGAAAAGTGCACTCCTAGAATTCACCGCTAGACTTCTGAAACCCCGAGGAGCCGAAGAGGGGAGCATCTCTCCGCCAGGCGATGGAAACTGGTTCTGCCCTGGCCTGGGAGGAAGTCTGCCTTTTCGATCCTGTTTGTCCTTTCGATGTCTGCGAGTTTCCAATTACTCTGAAGATCCGGCCCACTGCTTCCCCGAGTCCTGCCCGGACAAGCCCCACGTGGGCTGGCTTCTAGCCGGTCCCTTGGGTCTAAACCCCAAGGGTCAACAAGGCCATGCCCCTGCGGACGGTGGGCCCAGGCGCGCTTCCCCCGGGGCCGCCTGGGCTCGGTGTGGCGCGTCTGCGGGTCAGGGGCGCGGCGGGAAGTCCTCGCCCGCCCAGCCAGCCAGCGGGGTCAAACAGGTCATCCCCCTGCGGCCGGCCGGCGCCGGGGCCTCCCTCCTGCCCGCAGGGTCCCACCTCCGCGAGCAGCACTGGGGCCGGAGCCAGGCGGTCGGGACCGGCCCCAGCTCACCTGGGCGGCGCTCGCGGCCGGGCTCACGCTGGGGAAGGCTCCGGCCGCCGGGAGTCCCCGCCCGAGCCCCGCGTCCCCTAGCCACCCACCTGCCCCCCACGCCCCACTCACCAGCGCGCACGGTCCCGGCGGCCTCACCAGGCGCGGGGCGCCACCGCCTCTGCCGCAGCCCGGCCGGGCCGCGGGGCGCAGGGGACTCCGCGCCGCCGCCGCTGCTGCTGCTGCTGCCGCTCCCGCCGCCGACGCCGCCGCCGCCGCCGCCGCTGCATCCCCCGGCGAGCGCGGCTGCTCCTCCTCCTGCCTCCTCCCCGCCCCCCAGCGCCGCCGCCGCTGCCGCCGCCGCCCCCGGCCCCCGCCCCGCGCGCCGCCCAAGCCAAAGTCCGGCTCCGCGCCCCGCCCGGACCGCTCTTAAATCGCTCCAGCCCGGCCGGCCGCGCTGCCCCAGCCAGCCCCTTGGCACGGCGCTGCCGCCCCCTGCCCGCCGGCCTCCGCGCAGGGAAGGCGGGCGCGCTTCGGGGCGGGGAGCGTCGGGCCGGGAGCAGCGGACGGCGGGGGCCCGGGGCGCGGGGGGCCCAGCCAAGGTGCCCTCCTCTAGCCCTCCGCGCGCGAGCGCTTTTACCTCCGGCTCGGGGGACGCGCGGCCCGCGACCCGGCTCTGCCTGTCCCCGGCGCACGGCCCCGGCCCCGGCCCCGAAGTCCAGCTCCGGACGGGGCAGCGGACGCAGACCTGGGGTCCCGGCGGCTCTCGGCCTCCGGATGCCTCCGGACCCGGCTGGCCGCGCTCCCGGCGCCGAGCGCGCACCCTCGCCGGGAAACACAGACGCACACTCACCCGACACACTCTCGCTCCCGCTTGCCCTCGGCGGAGAGTTGAAACAGATGTGGGATTCGCCCAGGAGCTGGAAACGAGGGAGGGAAGCGAGCCAGAGCCGTGTGTGCGTGTGTGTGTGTAACACACAAACCAGGGGGCATCGCTAATAAATCAAATATCGTGATAAATTCAGGAGGGCCATCGATCAGGTCCACTTGGCTGGAAACGACGTGAATCTGCCTCTTTTCTGCTTTCTTCTCCTCTCTCGGAGCTGGAGGGAGCCAAGTGTTTCGCGGGGCGTGCGACAGCCCCGACCGGGCGCTCCCCTCGTAATGACACGTTAATAAATGTTTTCTTTTATCTGCTTTCACAGAACTCGCCCCGGTCTGCAAACACTCGACTGCCTTTGCTGAAAGCCTCGCGCTCGCCTCCAACCACACACATTGGCCATTGGAGAGGCCGGCGCCGGCCGCGACCCCGCGGCTCAATCGCAGGGCAAACCGAGCTGCCCGTGCGCGCCCCAGAGCTCCCCGAGAAACTAACTTGGGCTCAAGTGAAAATAGCAGCTGTTGCCCAGAAATGGCCCGGGAGTAGCAAAGAAAAGAGAAACCGGCTTCTTCCGAAAGGGGAGGAATTCGACTCAAGGGGGTGCTGTCTACCGCGGTTTCCGCTGTCCCTCGCGCCACAGAAGAGGCCGGAGGGGGACCGGCCTGACGCGGGTGGGCAAAGAGCGAGCAGAGAACCCACCAGCAGCTGCAGAACACACAGCCGAGTTGCTTGCTAAGGGGAAACAGACGCCGCTGTAGGAAAGCACTTGTAAGCAGCAGTAACTTATTAAACCTTGTGACAATCTCACACAGTAAGTTACTATGCCCGTTTTACCATGGAAACCAAGAGAGGTTTAGTAACTGTCCGAAGATTGCACAATTATAAGTGGTGGATCCTGTGAAGCCAAGAAGCCTTAGCTCCAGGCTCATGCTCTTAAATCCTAGGATGTTTTTACTTTTCAACCAGCATCTCCTTTCTGTAGTGTGATCCTCCATGCTAGACTTGTCAGAGACTTAACAAATACAGACCTCTATGGGGAGGAACTTAGTACTAAAAAATTATTCATTTTTTAATCTGAAATTCAAATCGGATCTCCTGACTGGGTTTGGGGCTCTAGGCTCCTCCCCATAACCTCTGTTAGCCACCCCAATCAAGTTAGAGCCTAAATAAATCAGAAAAACCTTGAACTTGCTTTTCCAAATCAGGTGCTGGCCCTACCATTGGCATCACTGATAAGGCTGATCAGCTCCCACCTTCTTTGCCTTGGGACAGAATGTCAGGCTTCACCATCATAGACCAAAAAATAATGGAGACCCCTCTCCCTCCGCCTCATCTCTGTAGAAGGACATATATATGATTTAGAATTTTCTAGTAGTGCATTAGAAAGTGAAAAGAAACAGGTGAGGGTGGGGCACAGTGGCTCACGCCTGTAATCCCAGTATTTTGGAAGGCCAAGGTGGGCGGATCACTTGAGCTCAGGAGTTCAAGACCAGCATGGGCAACATGGTGAAACCCCATCTTTACAAGAAATACAAACATTAAGCTGGGCATATTGGCATATGCCTGTGGTCCCAGCTACTCAGGAGGCTCAGGTGGGAGAATCACTTTGAGCCTGGGAGGTCAAGGCTGCAGTGAGCCATGATTGTCCCACTGTGCTCCAGCCTAGGTGACAAAGTGAGACCCTGTCTGAAAAAAGCAGGTAAAATTAGTTTTAATGTTAATAATATAGTTAACCTAGTATATCCAAAATTGATCGCTTCATGGAATCAATATAAAATTATTAATGAGATATTTTTACATTATTTTTTCCTACTAAGTTTTGTAAGCCGGTGTACAATCTAAACTTCACAGCGCATCTCAATTGGGACCAGCCACGTGTGGCTCAGGGTTCCCATGCTGGACAGTGCAACTCTGGCAGGTTCTGCGGTCAATGACTGTTTCCACCAGGTCGTCTCATGTAATCCTCCTGACAATCTTTTCAAGAAAACTGATGCTCAGAGAGATAAAGGGTCTTGCCTATAGTCAAAAACTTGGCCAGTGGGATTTCAACTCATTTGCTGTCCTTGGTTTTGGGACGTGTACCCCACTGCAGAAGCAGTTTTCTTACTGGGTCCTCAGAGACCCCTGGGGGTGCATCTGGGGCCTGGGGTGGAGGAGGGAGGCCCAGGAATGGGATCTGCCTCCCTCCTACTTTTTATGTTGGGTTCTGGAGAATATTTCAGGGGTGGGGAAATTTCCACAGCAAAAAAAAGTTTAAAAAAACCCCACTGCATTACCACACTATGCCCTTTGGGCCTCGAGTTCCTGAACGTGGCTCTCTCATACCCATATGGATCCTACCCACAATGTTTCACTCCATCCTCTGCTCATCAGGTAACCCCAGTCAGAGAGGGGAAGCTTACAGTCCTTTCTGGGGCTGTGGGCCTGGCGGACATGTGGCATTTGCTTATCTTTTTGGATATGTTGTTTCCATTGTTGCTGGACATTACCAAACATGGTAATGTCTATGTTGGCCCCTTATCCTTCCTTAAGTAGATGGGGACAGATGTTGCGTGTGCATGCATGTGTACCTGTGTGTCCAAGCATGTATGTGTGTGTGTTCATTGTAGGCAGGTGCTATGCGTCACGTATTTTAGTCTGGACTTAACTTACTGGCTCAGACACCCATGAGGTCAGAGGGTCTGCAAAGCTCCTCTGGCCATGTTTCTTCCCCATAATTCCCAGCAAACTCTCTTGTCCTCTGGGTTCAAGGCCTTAGCCTGTTTTCCAGGTCCTTCCAGGCAGGTGGGGACCGGAGGCCCGTTCCGGAGCTCGGAGCTGGGTGTCTGGGATACGTGAGGGGCCCTGAGGGCTCACATGTCCCCCAGCCTGGCAGCCTGGTCTGGGTGGGGCTCAGCAGAATCCTGGGCACCTCCACGACCTCCTGATACTCCAGCCCCTGCCACCTCCACCCACACCGAGACAGCCTTTCTCCTCCCATGTCCTTCATCCCCCATGACATCTCTTGGTATGATCCTGACCATCCTAGCTGGACGATCAAGCTTTTCAAGCTCCTCATGCCGCCCCATTCTCCCCAGCATTGTTGACTTAACCTCAGGGGGACCTTTCTCTTGACGCCTCCATGCCTCGTTTCTTCCCTCTGCAGATTCCTTGGCAGCTCTTTTGTGCAGAACGCCCGTCTGGTTCTATCTCCCTTGCAAGGCCGGAGTTGCTGTTTTATTCCCTTGACTCATATGTAACAATTAAAAAAAAAAATCATTCTTGCTATGTGTTTCTTTATTTCTATCAAGAGGTTGAAACTCAATCTGATTGTCTGAGCACTTCTGGCTGGATTTGGGTTGGAGTCGATGGGATTTTATGAGGGTTGTAAAAGTCAAGCTTTTAACATGTCTCAAGCAAATTGGCGTGTAAAGGAGAAACGTTAGAAGAAGGAACATGGCTGCAGACGGGAGGCTTGGGAATGTGAGCCGTAGAACTGGGACACAGGTGGCTTTAATAATGCACACAAGTTTGGCTGTAAGTTGCTTCTACAAGAGCAGAAGAGGCTGCAGAACCACTCTCAGGAGGTTGAGATCAAACTTCTCAGCTCCTGAGTGCAGACAGTTTTGCATGGGTTTTAAAATACAGATTCCAGGATCATCCATAACAATATAAATCTGTGGTTAATTCTGCTGAATTTTCACTTAGACCCAAGCTGTGTTGTCAGTAGAAATGCAGTTGCGTTAGAGAAAAACTGTTTATATTTCTTGAGATACTGTGATAATGAAAAACAGTACCATAAACCCCCATTAAGTAAGAAGAACATTAATTGTATTTCATGCTGCCTCCCTGGGCCAGCACGCTGACACAGACATGCTTTACTTCAGCAAAACACGGCTAATCTTTGCAGCACGGTACCCATTTTCCCCTTTAATTACACATAATTGTATAGTCTAATTTATTCTAACGCCTGATGCCGAAAAGTGCACATTTATGAATCAAGGGTTAGTTTGGGAGGGAGGAGAATTATAAACGGGTATAATTGCAGTCTCCTGGGGGCTGCTTATGAGTGATTTCAAAGAATGATGATGTTTATTCTCATTTCTTACCAGTGAAAGACAGTAGGGCTGCCTCCAGTTAAGATACTGTTCTAAGAACACAGATAACAGGACAATTTGTCTAGTTGCTTACCACACTAGTGGTTTTCCTTTGGATAAGCAGGCAAGAAAGATTAAAGATGTGGGTTCCACCTATTTTGCGATGTGATGAAATCCAGGCACACAGACAGCATCAGTAAATGTGCAATTGAGTATTAAAATGAGTAATGTGGCCCCAGGCAGCACAGCTGCAGATCTCGGTGGACAAGGGAGAGTGTGTGGAACTCTGTCGGACGATAGTTGTCTCAGGGGGAAAAGCAGGATCCATTTGACCATTAGTGCAATTCACTTTAGGGCTCTCTCTGGAACAGTGCGTCTAGTTTTGCAATCGTATTTCAGAAAAATCACCTTTAAGCTTTGATCATAATTAATTAATCAATTATGATGAATGTTGATGGTGATTTAGTAAAAGTGGAATGATGACTTAGGGCTCCCCCAGGGCTGAGGTTTCTAACGAACCTAGGCTATGCCTCCACTGTCTGGCCCCTCCTTGGTTGATCTTCCCAGGCCTCAGTTTCCTCATCTTACGAATGAGGATAATATGGAGGACATTGCTGGCTGTCATGTGGATTAAGTGAGATTGATAAAGGTAAAAGGCACACACGATGCCTGGCTGGAGGGTACACAATGAGTGTTCACTAAATCAGAATTGGAAACATGCTGTCTTGTGCTCCTGAGAGAGACACTTCTTCGTGGTCTGCAAAGCCAGACTTTGAAATCCAGGGCAGTGGAGGCAATGATGCCAAAGGAAACCAGATCATGTCACTCCTAGGCCTAAAATCTCTTCCTCTTAGATGGAAACGCGATCCTGCTCCTGCCTGGCACTCCAACATCTTTCTCTGCTGTCTTGCTTCCATTTTTATTATGAAAATTTCACATGGAAAAGTTGAAAGAATGGTATGGTGGACACACTTATACTCTCCACCTAGAATCAACAGTTGCTAATATTTTGCCATGTGTGCTTTATACATTGCAGAAACATTTGAGAGGTGGTTGCAGACATGATGACACATTACCCCTCAGGAGTTGAGCAGGCATCTCCTAAGAATCGGTTGTTTTCCCAGGTGACCTCCCTATTATTATCACACCAAAGGAAATGAACAGTAATTCCATGATCACTCCTTTGCTCACAGAAACACAAAGGTATCTTTCACTTCGTTCCTCAAGCCTTTTCCTGCCTCAGGACCTTTGCACTTTCTGTGGCCTCTCCCTGGCATTTTTCTCCCCAGACTGTGCTCCAAAAACTCTCACTACTCAGGTTTCAGCATGATGTCACCTCCTGGGAGAGTTTGTCCCTGTCTGTTTCACCTAAAAATGCTTCCCAATCACTCCTCCCTTCCCCATTTTAGCATCTTCCTATGACATACTGCTATCTGAAATTCTGTTTTTATTTTCT